ACCACCACCATGATCGACGCCCCTGGTTCTGATTTATTAACACATGAAAGTTCACAGAGTAAAACCTGTGTCTCTAGATATCATGTGTTGGAAAACACAGACGCCGATCAGAAGTTAGCACCAACGCACTGTGGTCATTGTTTGACTGTCATAAGGTCTTACAATGTGTATCTGGATAAATCGTTAACTTAACGCAGAGATCAACTGTTGGTAGTCAGAGACTAACCCGAGGCGATTTCTATATAATATATAATGAAATGGTATACACAAAGCGACTATTTTGTTCATGTTATTGAAATGATAAATTGTGTTGACATATTGACTACGATAGCAGATCTAAGTTGATGCTTGGCAACATTGGAAATTGTCACGTTGTTAACACGCACGTCGAGAGTGAAATGAATATTGTGTGATAGTGCCCTGACATTGATTAATAATTCCCCGTAACTAGAACATTCGTTTTAAGCTAATTTTACCTTATACTGGATATCATCGATCATCTCCTATCATTCATTTCGTATTTTCTTTATATTTGATTTAAATAATTCATTATTGGATTAATTGCATTGTTACTGACGTAATTGTGTGGACAAGTAATTCTTGATACCGTAGTATATTTCTACGTAATTAGGTCACATTGTGTTAGCAGTACAGTGACATTGACCGCCAAGTGACCCGAAAATACAATACATCCATTCAATTAACAAGACTCAAGAACAAGCAAATGAGTTTCATTGTTGTAAGCAGACGCGCTTCGACGCTATTTTCACTGGATCAGTGTACGCCTATGTCGAGTGTTTGTGTGTAGTTTTTGTACTACATAAGTATAAAATGGTTGCATATTCAATTCAGTCAAAATGGCATGGTATCAGACTCCACTATGCAACTTTAATTTAAACTACTTTTTATACATCAAACCTCACTCTTCGAACCACGTTATTCTCAGATCCGCTGTAAAACTCAATGATTACTAATGAAACTCGAACGCCCTCGTGCGCTTGGATTGGGAAATGTGGGTAATGCTCTTAATACTTTTGTTTTTCTTATGCCCAGGCAAATCAATAACTCGAGTAATAGTCAAAAACGTTTCACTTGGTGGTATATGCTACCTGGTTGTTAAGTTTAAAGTTATTTTTGAATATTTCTCTAGTCACTCAGATTTTTATCGAAATTATGAACTATTTAAGGACACTTGGCGCAATATTTATAAGATGAAATGGCCGGAAGACGGAACCGTGTATTTAAGGGTGTCCCAAACAACACAATTTTTACCGAGATTTATTGATATTCGTGAAAATTCATAGGAAATGGCACGTGACAACCGGTAAATAGTCTGGTGAAAATCTAGGCGATTACAAGTCTACGTATAGGATAAATACGGCTAATTGAAACACACACCCACACACATTGGTGTCCCATGAGTGCCAACATCATATATGTATATATATGCTTTACTCACTCTGATTTCTCCAACTGATGTATCAGGAACAACGCCATATTTAGTTCCATTCTGTAAAGCGATATCTTGCAGAAAATCAAGACCAACATCTATAAACAAGAAATATAGCAACAAAAATGATATAAATTAGAACAATATTATATAAGCACAAAGGTCGTCAACTTGATTTTTGAGGGGCAACGCCCCCTCAACATTTGTTTCGAGGGGACAACAGCCCCCTTTGCCGCCCGGTACCGCCGCCACTGTCACTACATCATTTCCCACATGTATAGGTTCATAAAGACTTACGATCACCAAATACCACAATCACATCATTTCCCATATGCATATTGCCCTCTGTCACAGTATATGGCACCACATCATTTTTCACATGTGTGGATGAACTGTGACTTATCACCAAGTATATATATATATCACCACATCATTTCCCATATGCATATTGCCCTCTGTCACAGTATATGGCACCACATCATTTTTCACATGTGTGGATGAACTGTGACTTATCACCAAGTATATATATATCACCACATCATTTCCCATATGCATATTGCCCTCTGTCACAACATATGGCACCTTATCATTTTTCACATGTGTGGATGAACTGTGACATATCACCAAGTATATATATATCACCACATCATTTCCCATATGCATATTGCCCTCTGTCACAACATATGGCACCATATCATTTTTCACATGTGTGGATGAACTGTGACTTATCACCAAGTATATATATATCACCACATCATTTCCTATATGCATATTGCCCTCTGTCACAACATATGGCACCATATCATTTTTCACATGTGTGGATGAACTGTGACTTATCACCAAGTATATATATATCACCACATCATTTCCCATATGCATATTGCCCTCTGTCACAACATATGGCACCATATCATTTTTCACATGTGTGGATATATATCACCACATCATTTCCCATATGCATATTGCCCTCTGTCACAACATATGGCACCATATCATTTTTCACATGTGTGGATATATATCACCACATCATTTCCCATATGCATATTTCACTGACACTTACCATCACCAAGTCCATATGTCATAATAATCACCTCATTTCCCATACGAAGATTTCTATTTTGTATGACCTTCATTATCATCTGTTTCCTATCGTACTCCGTTGCCGCGTCATCAGTGGGTTCCCCGTCAGTTAAAAATAAAATAACTTGATCTGAAAACATAAATAACAAACAATATTATTTGCCGAGAAATCATCAGGTTATTGAATTAAACAACTACATCGTAACAGCAATTGAACGTCATGTCATGTAGATCAGTTCACTAAATAATTTATCGCTTCTGTCTTGATTATTAATCGAATAAATACAATCAATGAAAAGAAAGAGATGATGGCAACAGACGTTATATTACAGTGTAGATGCATGAAGCATGTACATTGCTATGATTATTTACATTATTTAAAAATTAAAATGAATAACTTCCTTTTCTGTAAATTAAGGTAGACATAATGACATAAGTTTTAAAGATTAACGCAAAAAGTTGATAGACAACTCATGGCGCAAAATCACCAATATTGTCTAAAATATAAATTATTTGATAGTCGTCATTACAAATTTTATAGATTTTCTATATGTTAGAGTTGCCATGGAAATATTAGATCACGTGATGTTTATTAACATATTGGCCCACTCACCTCGATAAGGCTCGCCTTGTTGAGGGCGCGATGCCTCAAGAAGATCGAAAGCTGCTTCGAATGCTGTACTGTAATGAGTGCTTCCTGTTGATCATAAACATTACGTCATAATCTTTTACATTGATTACACCTTAATCACATTAAATTGATACATTTTACGTCACAATCACATTAATTTTATAAATATTACGTCACAACCACTTGACATTTATAAATGTTACGTCACAATCAGTTTACATTTATAAGCATTACGTCACAACCACTTGACATTTATAAATATTGCGCCACAATCAGTTTACATTTATAAGCATTACGTCACAACCACTTGACATTTATAATAAACATTACGTCACAATCACTTGACATTTATAAATATTACGTCACAACCACGTGACATTTGTAAATGTTAAGTCACAATCAGTTTACATTTATAAACATTACGTCACAATCACTTATATTTATAAACATTACGTCATTATCACTTTAAATTCATAAACATTACGTCACAATCACTTACATTTGAAACATTACGTCACAATCACTTTCCATTCGAAACATTACGCCAGAATCGCTTTGCATTTTTTTATAAATATTACGTCACAACCACTTTAAATTTATAAACATTACGTCACAATAATTTTACATTTATAAACATTACGTCATTATCACTTTACATCCATAAACATTACGTCACAATCACTTACATTCGAAACATTACGTCACAATCATTTTATATTTATAAACATTACGCCACAATCACTTACATTCGAAACATTACCTCACAATCACTTTACATTCGAAATATTACATCATAATCACTTTACATTCATAAATATTACATTACAATCAATGTACATGCATAAACATTGCGTCACAATCACTTACATTCGAAACATTACGTCACAATCCTTTACACTCATAAATATTACATTACAATCAATGTACATGCATAAACATTGCGTCACAATCACTTAAATTCGAAACATTACGTCACAATCACTTTACATTCATAAATATTACGTTACAATCAATGTACATTCATAAACATTGCGTCACAATCACTTTACATTCGAAATATTACATCATAATAACTTTACATTCATAAATATTACGATACAATCAATGTACTTTCATAAACATTGCGTCACAATCACTTTACATTCGAAACATACGTCACAATTACTTTACATTTATAAATATTACGATACAATCAATGTACATTCATAAACAATACGTCACAATCACTTTACATTCATAAATGTTACGATACAATCAATGTACATTCATAAACATTGCGTCACAATCACTTACATTCGAAACATTACGTCACAATCACTTTACATTCATAAATATTACGTTACAATCAATGTACATTCATAAACATTGCGTCACAATCACTTTACATTCGAAATTTTACATCATAATCACTGTACATTCATAAATATGACGTTACAATCAATGTACATGCATAAACATTACGTCACAATCACTTACATTCGAAACATTACGTCACAATCACTTTACATTCGAAACACTACGTTACAATCAATGTACATTCATAAACATTGCGTCAAAATCACTTACATTCGAAACATTACGTCACAATCACTTTACATTCGAAATATTACGTCAAAATCGCTTTGTATTCATAAGCATTACGTCACAGTCACTTTACATTCATAAATATTACGTTACAATCAATTTACATTCATAAACATTACGTCACAATCACTTACATTCGAAACAATACGTTACAATCACTTTACATTCGAAATATTACGTTACAATCAATGTACATTCATAAACATTGCGTCAAAATCACTTACATTCGAAACATTACGTCACAATCACTTTACATTCGAAATATTACGTCAAAATCGCTTTGTATTCATAAGCATTACGTCACAGTCACTTTATATTCATAAATATTACGTTACAATCAATTTACATTCATAAACATTACGTCACAATCACTTACATTCGAAACATTACGTCAAAATCGCTTTGCATTCATAAACATTACGTCACAATCACTTTGCATTCATAAACATTACGTCACAATTACAACAAATAGACAGATAAATTACCATATTCTTGAATGGAATTGACAAAGCCTCGGAGATAATTAAGATTAGGTGAAGTTGCTGCAGCGAGTTGGTAACTATAACAATCACTGCTTTTGTCGTTACCGGGCGGAACTAGAACAGAGTCGGAAAATGTAACAACTCCAACCTGTAAAATGCAATACAAGAAAAAACATGTCTACAAACACGTCATCTTACACAGATAACAGTATTGTATGTGGTATGTGTATCTATTAAAATATTTGTTTGTTATGGAAGGGTCCATTAAAACAATGATTTCAAATGTGTAGATCTCACCTAGGGAACAGGACTGTATATTAACAATTACCTTGGTTACTGGGTTTATACAATACATATAATTACCTTGTTCATTGAGTTCATAGTTAGTACCAAAATGCGTACAATTACCTTGTTCATTGATTTCATAGTTAGGACCACAATGCGTACAATTACCTTGTTCATAGTTAGGACCACAATGCGTACAATTACCTTGTTCATAGTTAGTACCAAAATGTGTACAATTACCTTGTTCATTGAGTTCATAGTTAGGACCACAATGCGTACAATTACCTTGTTCATTGAGTTCATAGTTAGGACCACAATGCGTACAATTACCTTGTTCATTGAGTTCATAGTTAGTACCAAAATGCGTACAATTACCTTCAAGCTGTTCATTGAGTTCATAGTTAGTACCAAAATGCGTATGTAGCCTGGACTCACCCGGCACGAGTCCATACACAAAATAAATACAGTTTCCGAACTAGTTGACCACGCAATTTCCACT